CCTTCCAAGCTCTTTCTCGACCAAGGTGGCTGGTGAGTAGAACCAACGAAGTATACAGTTACGCCGAGAAGGAGGTGGGAAGAAAAAGCGGGGTGTAAAGGAGAGTGGAGCTTAGATGCCTGTAATTTGAGAGCTATTTAAACGCGGGTATATAATATACATATACCTACGAAATATAAACGAAGGACTATAAAAAAAACGCAGCTATATCGCAGTCAGCTTCCTCCACTCGTTCTCTCTCTTTTTCATATACATGTACTGGGTACATAATATTATGCTCTCTACTTTCTTTGCCCCTTATACAATATAGGTACACATGTGCCGCTGCAAACGTGCACGGGCATAAATTGCGCCCTATACTGCGGGTACAATAGCCCGAATGCTTAGCCGAGAAAGAGAGAGAGACCCCTTGACTATAAGTGCGCGCTACATACAGTCCCCTTCCACTCTTCTGTATTAGTATTTGTGGAGGCTGTGCAAGCCGTGCAAAAAGGTATACGTATACATATCTATACCCACGGAGAGTAAGAGAGAGAAGAGCTTAAGTGGCCCTGAAATAGAATGAGGAAAAAATGGGGATAGAGAAGGGTGAAACTGCGACGGACCAATGGCTTCGACGCTTCGAGTGACACTCGATTCATCTTTCGAGGGGAAGATATCATGCTCGGTGTGTAACAGTTCCTCCCTCCTTCCAAAGGGTTTTTACCTTGTGTATGGAAAAAAAAAGTACTAATTACACGGAATATAATGGGGATTTTACGGAGAGTGGATGAGATTATTGCCTGGGAGCACCTACTTGAAAGCGCTTGTTATTATGATGGTCATCGATTGATGCGAAACGAGTCAACTTTTATAGATCCTTCCAATAAAGATAAATACCTGCACGTTTTGTGCACATAAATTTCTGATTCGTGACTCATCGTCGGAGTATCAAATACATAGAAGAAAAAAAAAATCAATGAAAAAAAAAAAAAAAAAAAAAAAAAAAAAAAAAAAAAAAAAAAAAAAGTAAATCTTACAAAGCAATCCTAATGAAAAAAAAAGGCAGAGAAAAACAGACAAAGAAGGGCAGGGGTGCATCTGGAGTAGCGGAGAAGAGAGTGACGGGAAACCACTGGGGGATAAAGTGGGCATGCCGGTCTGGGAGCGGGCTTCTTCTCTCTCCTAGTGGACCAATTTACGGGGCTCTTAGGCTCGGTACGCCAACAGCAGCCCTACACGACGTACACCCTACAGACGTATACAGGGTGGACACGGGGTGGAGGGTCGAGGTGGCTGTACAGGCCGATGTTGCGGACCCGAGGGGTCGTTTCCGGCCATTGTGTTAGCCCCAACCAAGGGCTGGGGTACAGAGGGGCGGAAGAAAGCCGGAGGGATTATTTTGGCGGTAAAAGGGATTTCGTTCTAGCCGGGCCTGCGTTTAGTGCTCAGCTTCCCCACCCCTATATATGTGTACAAAAGCACGCGCGCACGCGCACGCACACACACATGGAGGGACAAGCACTCACGGCTTATTGGCTCAGCACCTGCCATTGAGCCAGCTTAATTTTTTTTGCGCCCCAGCTCTCCGGGATCTCTCACTTGTATTACGGTGATGCTGCCTGCGGCTCCTTTTCTCGCCTCGTTCTTCTCATCTACCTCCCCCCTCCTTTCTTCTTCCGTTGCTGGTTTAGTTTCTCTCTCTTTCTCTCCGGAGTATATGGATAGTTACTCAGAGTTTAAGGGACGAAACACGATGTCGAACGAGATCCAAAGCGCTGCGCGGAAGTCACGTTGCTCCGTTGTCTCCCGAGCGATACCGTGCCTTGGCTGATGGTTTTTGCCTCCTCTCGTCCTTTCGCGGGACGAACGGATGGTTGGGTTCACCACTATTATTTCTTTTCCTTCCCAGAAGTTTTTTTGCCTTCTTGGTACAAACATCGTTGGTGTTTGCCTAAACGATTTTAACTGAGTGTACAGCTGAGGTTCTGTCTGGTATGTATACATCCATGTGCCGGCTGTTAATTTCACGTATCCACGTAGCTATACTCGAAAGAAGTTAATTGCTAGAAATTTTTTTTATCTTCCTGTACCTTATTTTATTTATTTATTTTTGTACGTGGATGAAAATCGGCTATTTCATCGAGCGGAAACGAACAAAAAAGAATAACGGATCTTCAGCTCCGATGGAGCGGGCCGAAGGAGCGCACAGCGCGACTAATTTCTCCTTTGAAGCGAAAGAAAAGCCGAGGGCTTTTTTCAGCTGTGCATATTTGTTCCGCGTATTAGCTGGCTACGTGGATCGCGAGGCCGATGAGAAAAAGAGAGAGGAGGAAATTCGCACGGCCGAGGCGCTCTAAACAGGCCGATTAAAAGTATCAATATTTGCTCGAATCGAGGGGAGTCTCGCGCAAACTTGGCCGCCCCTTTTTTTTTTGTTCTCCTTCTCCTTCGTGTTATTCTTCGCTTTGGCACTACAATGGCCGGCCACGAGTCTGTGTACTTTTCTTACGTGCGAAGCGCTAAAGACCGGCTGTTTCACAACCAGTTGCTCTGTACTCGTGTGTGGCCTTGAGGAATGCGCAGCTCGTGAATTTTTTTGTTCCACCATACATCCTCCTTGAGCCAACCATCGAGTGCGAATTTTCGAGTTTTTTTTTGTCTCATCCATTGCGCAATGCGACCCTCGTTTGTTTATTTTCTTAATTTGGGCGATGTACACAAACCCGGATACTATTTGTTTTGCGTTTGAATAATCACCTCCACAGCCTGGAGTTTTTGCGAAATCACTACCTCGTCGACCACTATAAGCACTACGCTGCAAGGGAGGAGGGAGAAAAAAAACGCACCAACATAAGTGCATTACATTGTACTAATCGCCCGAGCTAGCTGTCCCCCCTTTTTAATCGCGATGCAACAGCCCTTCTGCCTCTCCCTTTCCATACAAATATACATATATATATATATATATATATATATATACACAAAAGAAGGAATTCCAACAAGTATACACAATATAATACTGATATATAGCCTAATAGTAGTGGTGTCAAGGCAACATCGCGGACTCGCGCTCGAGTAATTGTCACGCTCTCAGCAACCAGTCGCTATACGTAACGTGCATGCCTACGTATATACGCACATGCAGGCTCGCGTATTCAAGTAGCCGGTTATATGGCTAGCACACGAGAGAGAGAGAGCCGCCGGCTTGCTAGCCAGTCTGGCACATAATGTATACTGTATTGGTTTACCTCGGTGGCCTGACCATAATATCACACGTGGTTAAATATCCATCGCTCGTTTCCTCCCTCTCTCTCTCTGACTATCTACACAAGTATATATGTATATTGTAATAGCCGAGCCTTAAATTTTCCTCGTTTCTCTCCTGCTTACTTACCGACTAGCGTAAACATGGGGGAGGAGAGCCCCACGTGTGAGTTAATGCGTGTTTATCCCGAGCTATAAACGGAGCAGCCTCTTAAAGATGTACGACGGTGCGAGGAGAGACCCCCTCGGAGGCCTTACTTTTACGCGATGCCGGTATACGCGCTTGGAAGTTAGTTTTAGAGCTCTAATTTTTAATGTTTCAGATGTTTTGGCTCGATAAACCGGTTGACGCAATGAGGCTTGTTAGTAGCAATGAATCGGGAAATGTGTTGAAGTGAGCTTTAGTATGATTCAAAGATATAAGCTTTTGATAAATTTTTAGGTGATTTGTGATCGTGATAATAGTAATTGAACTTTTGTGGCATATAAATTGACTATCGGACAAATACGTTGGGGGTTGGAAAATCACTTTATTCTAGCAGTTACACTCCTCACATATTTGCTAGTACCAGTAACAACTTCATGTTTTCAAACAATAGCACTGCATCATACATTTTTTTTTAGTCCAAACACAATTTTAATCATCTGTGAAATAAGGGGTTGTCAATCATCCCTTGATTTTCAGTTAAATGGAACTTGCTAATAGAAAATCAATGCAGAAAAAAATAAGTACATTGAATTAAGTAATTAATAAACGAAGATTAACAAATGAATATATTAATAAAACACTTAACTCACGGAAAAGAAAAATTTGTGAATATTGTATTTTGTTTAAACAAAACTTTACATAGAAAATAACATCAATTGTAAAAATGTCAAAAAAAAAAAAAATTCAAATTTCATTTGCCATGAAGGTTTTTATTTTACTTTATGGTATATGAGTTAGTTGAAGTTTATGCAGTATTAACCTGATTACAGTGTTACGACTTAAGTTTTATGGATCCATTAATTTTTATTATTTATTGATTTGTAAAAACAAGGTGAAAGATATTAAGTAAATGGATCTCGTATTAACTTTTCTAAGCTGCAAAAACAAATTTTTTAATCTGAAAATATCAACTAAGGATGATGCTCTGTTTTTTTTAAACATGCCATTTTTTTCTTTCAAGTGTACTGTCTTATAGACGTGTAACCTTTTTTCAAGTGCAGAACGAATGTACAATTGAACTTTAAATAATGCTAAACAAGCGTACTTCAAGTGTGACGACTACGTTAATGTTTACGCTATAGTTAGTGATGGATTAGCGTTTTAAGAAAATGATTTAATTCATGTAGAAATTATTGTTGAACTCGTATCTGCATAAGCAAACAACATCAAGTGATGTGCAAAAATATTATATCATCTTCCACCATCGTTTTTGTCGTTTGTATACTCGTATCAGCTATAAAGATGGGGGAGATTGTCCTCTAATAAGTAATTGAAATTTGCAGTTTGTACAGTCGGTTTCTATCACGATTAAAGTGAGATTACATCTCCATAGAGAAGTAATTTCTCGAGAAAGAATTTTTGATCGGCTCAACCAATTCAAAATACAAATAATGGAGGGCCTGTCAATGATATAGGACGTCTATTGTGCTTCTTTCATCCCTTGAACGATTTCATGGAAAACCACCCGAGCCGGGTATCATCCACCACGAGAGGGTCCTCCCCCAAGCCGGCTCACATGGTTTTCGTGTATACAGTATCGACTTACCGGATGCCTAGCAGCTGCAGCCGCGGCAACGGCGGCCGCATTGATGCCTGCGCTGGGATACATTTTTCCCGCTCCGGCGGCGCTGCTTCTCCTGGATTTGGAGGACAGCTCCTCTGCAGCGTCGTTCCTCCGGCTGTCGCGCGACGACGATGACGACGACGGCGACGAGGAGGTAGTTCGTACCCTCGGCTGCAGCTGCGCCTCGACGACGAGGTAACCGTCGTCGGTTCTTATGAGGTTTGAATTAAACGCCTGCAATGCTGCTGTTGTTACGGGCACTGGTCGGGTGTTTAGCAACAACCCTCGTGCACGTTCACTGTGAAAAATCTCCGTGTTGCCAACAACACGGGCAATGAGGAAGGAAAAAAAAGGGGCGGCGTCGAGGTTCGATCAACTTTAAGTATACTACACTTTTAAAGTGCACAGCATACCCACTTGTTGGTCACTTGAGCATCAGAGTTAAAACTGTTGACTGTTGCCAGTCGTATGGGTAAACTTTTTTTTTCTTCTTGTACGTGCTTTTATCTTTAATTTAGCTCACGTGTTTTTTTTTTTTTTTTTTTTTTTTTTTTTTTTTTTTTTTTTTTTTTTACATCAAGTATCTGTCACTGTTAGAATAGAACTGCCGTAGCACAAGACCGTAAGCCCAGTCGCACTTGTTGGGCGACTTTTTCCTGCCGCGTTGGAACGCCATTCGAATGTACTGCTATTCGCCGCAAAGCCTGCTTTGCTGCACCTTTTTTTTAATCCGTCGATATTCTCGCAGTTACTGCCAGCACGATTACTTTTGCAAAAAACTTTTAAACACACTAACAATACAATACTATTTAATCTTACGCATTAGAGGGAGTTCATTAACAAATTGGGGTGGATGAGTGTACCGCCTCTTTAAGGGTTGACTCGGCCGGCAAAGTATGAACGCGACTTTACCGAATGCACTGAAGAGAGAGATTTATAGACTCTACCCTATTATTTTATCTCTGGTAAACGAAAGACTCAATGACAGATCTAAAATTCACTACACTTTTAAACTAATTTTTTTTTTTTAATTTGATGACTCCAAAATGACTCGTTGTAGCAATAACACAAACTTTTTAAAAGTAACTCGAATGTAAACTTGTCACTCTCTTGTCACTCACTTAAAATCATGTATTATGTATATCACACAATAATCACTTAACAATCGGCATTAGTGTAATCAATGGGCACGTACGAAAGCACTGCTAATAAAACACAGCACCAAATCTGGACCACAAGATCATAGTGAGCTTTCTTCGAAAATTGATTGAAGAAGAAAAGTCAAAGCTCGTGGTAATAAGTAAAATTAAATATGACATACAGAAAAAAAGTGAATGGATGTAGAATTATAATGCTACGTTGGTGTTGCTCAAAATACACGAGAGACAAATTTTCGTCGGAGCGAAGCTCACTCGTCGGTGGACTTGGGGCGACTGACGAGCTGCCGAGTAGTGGGGGAAGAGACAAACTCCACCGCTATGGCTCGCCCCCCGCCTCTCTCTCTCTCTTTCCTCCCTTCCGCCAACAACTCCAGCACAGCAGCAACCCGGCTTTAGTTCGCCGACACAACCGCACGGATATGCGTGTATATATCTCTCGCTCGTCGGAGTGCCAACACTTCCAATGCTGTGCCAACGGGCGTTCACGCGCACAGGCGCACTTTTTACGTGCTTATAAAACGCGCGCTCACATATAAAAGCACCAGAGAGACACACACCATATACATACACACTATGCTCGTTCGCTCTCCCTCTTATCCCCCTTGCCGTGTGCTACTGCTGCTGCGCTCTCGTTTTCTCTCTGCCCCCGTTACACCCCTAACTACGCCGCGACGCCTCGCTCTTTTTCTCGCTCGGCTTGTCGCTTTACACGCGCCCCAAGTGTATATATGCGTACACGCCCATGTGTACGGATAGAGCTCTAATTGTTTCTCTTGGCGCTCGTGCGTGCGTTCACGTATACGTTGGTATAAATGTATACCGGGGCACACATGTGCGCCTGCCCGTATGAACTCTCGAGGCTTTTAACTATATTTATTTCTTTATCTGTCCTGTCTCCCGTCCCCTCCCTCCGCCTTCATATGCGCGCAAACGTGTATACATGTACATGTATACACACTTTTTCTCTCTTCATTTATATACATGCTTGCCCCGTGATTCACTCGGCTTGGGTCTCGCTACTCTCACTCTGCCCCGTGTACATACATGGGATAGGGGATTCCCTGTCTTTCGTCTCTGTGGCGAGAGCGATGTTTCTCTTGTATATCTCTGGTCTGTGACTGCACGTGATACTGTGTAGGTGGGTATACATAGTCGTCTCGACAACGGCGCAGCAGTGGTTAGCGCTCGCGCAACCCTGGCACAAACTTTCATGGGTATTAACCGGCACCTTTACAATTAGTCGCTCCGTTACGTAAAAGCACTCGCTTCCTCTTCCCCTTCACCCAAGCGCGTCAAAACGTGGCAACGAAAATCAGGCTCCCTTTTCCTCTCCTTGCCCTATTTTTCTTCACCCTCGTCTTCGACCACTTCTTCATTAAAACGAGAGTTTCAGAAAGACTGAAGTCCTTCCCGTTGAAATTTGCAGGGTAGTTGTACAAAAAGTGTAAAAGCATCATACGAACGAAGCGTTATTGACTATCGATACGCTAAACGAGTTTATATTATCTTACCACTCTTATTTTGTACAGGAGGGTCTTATCTAGTGACACTACTCGATCAAGGGTACCTTTTCGTAGAAGACCGTGGATAAAGTTCACGTATACTCTTTTCAGCTTTGGGGTACTCCTCTATGTCTCAAAAATAGTTCTTCACTTTTCCACACGATCAGGATTCATCTAGGCTAATGTCCGTGGAACAAGAAAATCCCAGCAAAACCCTTAAAGGAGTTATGGTGAAAGTCACCCTGGAACCCTGGTTGGTGTATTACCAAATTTCAGACTTAAGTTCCAAAGGTAATCTTTATCTGCTTCGATGCCTTTTCATGTTTCTCTCTCACTGTGTCGATGAAGACCTAAATAAAAAACCAAAACAACGCTGAGACCAAAAAAGATATTTCGCATGATACTAAGATTTGAAAAAAAGTGAAAAAGGCGTACCTTTCGCATGATACAAAGGATTTCTTTACACCTGTACGTATGAAGGGGCTACTATAGAACTACGAGATTAAGGATCTCGGGCTTTTTCTTTAGGTATTGACTCCAGCTCCCATCATATTGCTCAACAAAGTTCATAATGTAACAACAGGAAGACTGAGAGTTCCTTATTACCACCAAACCCATTCGATTGAAAACTTTGTCGTAGACTAACTTTGAAGTATAACTTTAGAAAAGAAATTATTGATATAAAGGTCAAATAAAAACTGTATGGTATATTCCATTGAGGTTTGCACCCAAGTTCTAGACTTTCAGAAAATCTGATACTGTTCGAGGATCTATAAAAGAGTAATTTCTCGACAAACAAACTTCAAACCTCAGCACTCGTTAGCCAATACCCACCAATCAATCTATTAGACGTCCTTAACGCTTAAGATGCCAGATATCTCGCCAGATATGGTATTTCTAACATACCAATTGGATATTGATGATGGAAGTAATGGTATAACTTCACACTGTCAGTACTTGAAGAAAAGCCTTAAAGGAACCTCAGAACTCCCAATCCTATGAACAGGTGGATAAAAAGGTTTTCAGAAGAAAAGAAACTGGTGGTTAGCCAGGACTTTAAGGCACCTTGTTCGAAGTTTCTCACTAGAGAAAATTCTCCATCTGACTCTCTGGATCTGTATTGTTGATAATTTTAACAAACTCAAGAGATCTTGGCTTTTTTACCCCCTTGTACGTGGGTGATACGAATGTTCTCATCATGAGAACCATCATGATTCAAACAATTCTTACAGACGATAAGTCAAGACAACTTTCGCTGCAAGTTGGTGCAACTAATAGAAAATCATCGTATGGAATTATAACAAGATAATATTAGTAGTACACATTATTATCATTGTGCATAGCTTAGTAGGTAATGTGCTAATCCTTTTAACTTGAAAGGCTCGAGATGTTGTAGGCTTGATTATTGTCAAAATTACTTTTAAGTTTTTCTATATAAACTACAAAACAATTCATTTATCCTCTGTTGTATGGATCTTTACTTATTTCGGCAATATATATTTCCATATCGCCCACATCTACAATATTTATCATGTTTTATTTCGTCTGGCCGAATAGAGTAGATTATATGTGGGTAAAAGTTTCCGAGGTTGCGTGAGATGGAAATAAAAAGTGTCAAATGATCAAGCGTTTGGATTAAGCGGTTCCGGTTTAAATTTACGTCCAACCGAATATTACGACAAGCCCGTTAATGCCACTCGTGAATTAAGATGAATCTTCTCCAACTTCAAACGAACGAATTACAGTTAAATCCAGCAACATCGGACGGAACAAGTGGAGGAATGGACCAAGTTTCTTTTTGTTGTTACAACAAAGTAGGTACTGCATACAATACAAGATGAGCAGTAAATAAAATGCAAGTGGTTACCCGAGTCCTTGCAGCTTGTAAGTGCATCATCACGATGAATTTGTGGCGTATAATTTACATTGATAAGCATAAAATCATTTGGTGCATCAGATACTGGTCCAAACGAGTTGAGAGAAGAAAATTCTGAGGTAAGAAGATTCAGAGAGAGAGAGAGAGAGAGAGAGAGAGAGAGAGAGAGAGAGAGAGAGAGAAACATGTGTATGGACTAATGTTCCGGCGTCATTGTGGGAGTATTTCCATGTTGGCGTGAACAACGAGCGCGATATACATACAAATAACCCTCTTGATCGTATATATGCATTGATGAGAGAAGCCAGCGCGTACGTATATAAACACATACGCGAGGGGAGCTGGTGGTAGCTTGTCGTCGTCTCGTCGTAGTAGTCATTCCCTTCTGTGTGCATCAGCCGCTTAAGCGCACGCGGGGCAAAGAGGGTAGGAAAGAGGAAGAGAAGAGCGAAACGACGTGACGAGCATACACGGGTATTAGCCCCGCTCGGTTGCCCATATGTATCTACAGAGCTGCTGGTACTGGTGGCTACCTCCCGGAGCTCCTGCTCTCCTTTCTGGGGGAACGTAGAGCCCAGCAGCGTGCAAATAACACGCAGCTCTAGCTACCGCACACACCATACGCATATGTATATGTACACATGTGCGCATACGCAAGTTGCAAAGTTTTTCGCAAAATGGCCGTCGACATAACATGGCAGAGTCATCGTTGTCGTCACACTCGACAGAAAAGGTAGTCTGCGTAAGCCCCCTCAGCGACCCTCTACTTCCCTTTTGGCCTTCTTCTCTCTCCCTGACGTAATTCGCCCCGCCTCTCTTACTCCTTCTCACTTGTGATTTCGAGGGTATGTATATATATGTGTGTGTATATACACATCCACATATATAATTGAAAAACGGGGTACGAAGGGGTGGAGGGAACGAGTTGTCCCACAGAGCGAGGAGAGCAATGCCACAAATATGGCGCCTCGTATTTCCCGACCTCACCCCCTCGTCAACCCCTTCATAGTGCGGCGACGAGCGCAAAAGTGAGGGCGAGATAGAAGCTGAACCTGAACGACTGCTGCCGGTGCTGCTCGTGTTGGTGCAACGATGTATTGTCGGTATAGATGCTGAAGAGAGACGGAGAAACAGAATATGTGCGGGGGGTGGGGTGGAAGGAGGTATAGGAGTAGAGGAAGAGAAGGCGAAAGAGAGAGATAGCAGAGAGATGAGAGGGCGAGCCAACACGCGTAAAAGCCCCCCGAGAGTGCGAGAGTGCCTCCTCTCTCTGGCGCGAGGCTGTGCTGGCTCTTGCTCTCTTGCACACACGCCGACACACAAAAGACAAGTTAAATGTGTGCGCGAAGCAAAGCGGGTGGTAGATATATACCGGCAACAGCAGCAGCAGCAGCGGCGGCGGTTCAGCGCAGTTCTCTGGAATCAAGAGAGAGTGAGCGAGAGAGAGAAAGACGGATGCATTGGTGTGTAGTAAGGGGTGCCCCTATGTGAATATCGCGCGGCACACAGTCCCAAGCAGTTTCCTACTTGATTGCCGCTATCGTCCTGTGTGTACCTCTCTCGCTCTCTCTCTTTCCTTCTCTGTAGCTCGCTCGCTCGCTCGCTCACTTACTCTTGCGATCTCTCGGTGGTGCAGAGAGGCATGTATAAAGGAGAAAGAGCGACAAGGACGCACAGATACGGCGTTCTCGCTCCACAGTCAAAATCCGCGCGGACTGTCGAGCTCTACAAACCTTCGCGTCATCCAATGAACGGTCCTCCCTGGCCGACTTGTCCAACCGGCACGGGGAATCCCCCACTTGTTTCGCCCGTGCCCCGGCAAAGATTCAAATGAATGCTCTCAGTCGGCCAATCCTGGCGCGCTATTTTTGAAC